CCCGTGGGAAGCCCGCGCTGGAGCAAGCTCCTGGCAGGACCTGTGGATCCGTGGAGAGAGGAGCCCACGCCAGAGCAGGTTTGCTGACAGGACTTGTGACCCCGTGGGGGACCCACGCTGGAGCAGTTTGCTCCTGAAGGTCTGCATCCCGTGGGAGAGACTCACACTGGAGAAGATCATGAAGGACTGTCTCCTGTGAGAGGGACCCCACGCTGGAGCAGGGGAACGATGAGAGGAGTCCTCCCCCTGAGGATGAAGAAGCGGCAGAAACAACGTGTGATGAACTGACCATAACCCCCACTCCCCGTCCCCCTGTGCCGCTGAAGGGGGAGGAGGTTGAAGCCAGGAGTGAAGTTGAGCCCGGGAAGATGGGAGGGGTGGGGGGGAGGTGTTTTAAGATTTGGTTTTATTTCTCATTCCTCTACTCTGTTTTACTTAGTAATAAATAAGATGAATTCCCTCTCTAAGTTCGGTCTGTTTTGCTCATGATGATAATTAGAGAATGATCTCTCTCTGTCCTTATCTCGACCCGTAAGTTTTTTTTTCGTTATACCTTTTCTCCCCTGTTTAGAGAAAGAGGGGAGTGATAGAGCGGCTCTGGTGGGCACCTGGCCCTCAGCCAGGGTCGACCCACCACAAACCTGAAGCAAGGCAGCAGGGAAAACAATTTGCTTGGAAATCCCTTCATAATCCACATTAATTCTGACTCTCCAGTTTACCAGTTGTGTGGTTCTGCTGAAGAGTTAGTTATGGATTACAATCTTCATCCAGTACATAATTCAGTCTGCCCAGGGGTTAAAACCTTGAGGGACACTCAGAAACAGTTGGTGCAGAACATAATTATCTCTTAGTAGGTTTCCTTGAGAGGAGCCAGTGACAGCAACCCCACCAAGGAGCACACAAGCTTTCCCCTCCTTACACTTCACAGCCACATTTTTTCACTTTGGTCTGTTGAACCCAAATGATGCTTTGCTCTTTTGGCACAAGAGATGCCTTCCCAGCCTTTCACAACGTGCAATCAACTCATCAGCTTACTTTAGCATCTCTGCCCTGAAACACTGAAGCATTAACAGGAAAGCGGTTAGGATGATTCTCCCAAGCAATGGGCACACAAGGACCCTGAATTTCTGTAGAAGCACCTACTATGCAGTGTGAACCCCTACGTTTTGCCATACGTAAAGGGAGTAGGTATATTTTATGGAATGTGGTTGAAGGCACCATATGTACTCTTTTTAGATGTGTATTTAAGAACAAGAGGAGATCTCCCTTTCAAAAAGCACATACAGATTTAACCATAGCAGTGGCAGCAAGGCTCAGTAACTGCTGTACCTCACAGGCTGTATTCATCCTTCATCATTAAAAAGATTACATGCAAACTCAGGAAATGGTCTGTTACAATAACTGCTTCTGGACAAAAATGTAGTGGTTTAGTATCTTAATTAAAGATTTGATGTACAGCAATAATGCTTTACTTTGAAACATTTCCACCAACTTTCACATATTTTTTCAATTCTATGGTATTTCTTTTATAAATTAACAACCCAATTTCTTTCAAAATAAAATTGCCTACTTCGTGGAAATGTCAAAAATAATGGTGACCAAAAAATAAACACATCTGATATAATTCAGTAAGGAAATACCATTCCACAAAGGGATATGGAAGGAAAATGTAATTCACTCCTGATAAGGACAGTGCTCTGAACACCAACATTAGAACACACAGGGCAGTCGGGTGTTCTAACTTCTTTCTTGTCCAAAATGCACTTCTGCCAATATAGTAAACAATTTTCCTAGTAGTCAACTAGGAAAAAAGAATTAAAAAAATATTTTTAAGCCATCATACAATTTTGGAACAAATCCTGAGGTGAAGATGCACTTGTTTAAAAGAGAATGTCAACAGGTTATTACTAATGCATGCTAGTGATTTTACTTCCCCTTCCAAAGTAAAAAAAAAAAAGTCAAATATGAACATTATCCAATTTTATCTCTAGGGTTAATTTAACATGGCTGAACAACTGCCTGCTAAATCACTATCTATTCAGTAGAACAGTATAGGCAAGAATGACAAGAATACAGCACCACACTGAATGGCTGAACACAATAAACAGCAACTTCACGCAGCAAAATCATGTTCTTTCAGCAAAGGCAAAAGGCTGAAGATTAATAAAGGAACCATTTTATGTTTCAATTTGCAGCTTTAATGGTTAAAAAATAATAGGAAAGGTGGGTGTTGTAATTATTGCAATCAGCCCACAATGTTCAGAGCATTTTTCTTTTACAGAAACTTCTAACATTGGACAAGAAATAAATATTGTACTGGATAATAAAATAAATAATAAGGGATAATAAAAGTAATTTTTGCATAATAAAGGTAAATAAACAATAGAAACTTCTACTTAATATCTCTATTGCTGACATGAATTTCAACTTTTTGCCAAGCCCTAATCTCTCCCCACTATCACTCAGTAAAGTTAATTTTTGGTAAGCAAAAACTACGACATCCATTACTGAGATGCACAGAGTAAAGGCAGAAATGGCAGAGCACAAAACCAAGAGACATTATATATAATAAAGCAAAATTTCCCATTCCAGTGGTTATCTTGAGAGGCTCAAGGACTTTTCCTGGTCTTTCCCTGTGGAAGCTCAGCCAGCAGTAATGAAGGCTTACTGACTTGAAGTAACTCCAGCTGGATCAGACATGGCAGAAGTTGTCATGGTCCCACGCCCGCACACACCCTTCACCCCATGCTCAGTTCTCATGGTTTAGATATTTACCTGCAAGTCTAAAAGTCTACAAACCACTCCCAAGACTCCCCATGACTTACTCGACTGCATACTTTTTAAGGAAGAGGGACTGTGGAGATATTTCCCTGACATATCAGTGGTCCCTTCATCAGGTGATGCAATGAGTAAGCCACTCCATCATCAATCCCTTCTTTTAAATTGAGGATTCAGGGGGAAGTATTGTGGCTACTTTTAAAAAGCAACCACAGCACTTTGTGCTGACATTTAACTCAGCTAGATACTATACTACAACAAAGAAAATTATTCGAAGTGAAGCACTGTGATTCAGGAAAGAAAATGATAATTGAACCCAGTCAGAAATACATAATCAGTATGTAACACTATAAAGATAGGTAGGATATTAAATGCTTTCTCAAGCATTTCTCTCTAACCTAATTTTTGCCAGAAGACAGATTTTAGATGCGAGATAATCCTTATTTTTAAACTCAAAGTATTATTAACATTT